GCCTGGGATGGCGGCAACAGTAGTGGTGAATGGCATCCTCAGGGTCCCAGGATGTAGGCACCAAGCACGATGAGGCAGCAGCTCAGGCTGGTCTTTTGCAAGACCCTCTTTGTGGATGCGCTGCGTATGTCTCACACCAAGTGCAGTATGAGCAAAGCGGCGGAAGATGGGGCCAGCAGTATCTACGACTTAGTCTCAGCGGGTGCCTGCAAAATCCAAGGGCCATCCACCGCGGTAGGGACCATCTCATCCGCGCCTGCCTGCTGCCAGTGCTTCCTTCTCTGCTCCCACGGCTACCTAAATTGAAGCTAGCAGCAAGACTCTATCACCGATTAAGCAATGAGGACTGGAGCGCGGCATCCGTCGAGGAAAAGAGCTCATGAGAACGAACGCTGCATGCCGTGCATTTATCACACCGGCCCACCACCCACACCCTTCTCGGCGGGTTTAACTGGCTCCAGCAGACGCCTCCCAGGCGATAGCCGGGGCAACAAGCTCCCACCGCCCAATCCGATGCACCCGGCCTCGACATAAGTTCATCAGGCCCAAAGCAAGTGGTGCATGTCATTATTCCCTATGTGCAAGGTGAGGTGAAATGAGTCGCATGCTGCAGTTGAGCGGCACACAGAGTCCCTGCACACCATCAAGTGCGCAGGTTACACACGCACGCGGGCGCGCACACTGGCAAAGTGATAGGCACTGAATCCACCCTCTTCTCCCAGGAATGAGGGCACCCAAGTGAGGCCTGCCTGCCGGACACCTTTCGCACCCGCCTTTGATTGCCCCTCTCCAAGGCAGTAAGCAGTGTGTCTCCCAGCTGCAGGACGAGAACCACGTCCGGTAGCATTGAGTCTCACGCAAAAACATTTGATTGCCAGACGCCAGCATGGGTAGAACACGTCGTAACCTGCCGTGTCGTGTGTCGTGTCGTGCCGCCCCAGACCCGGCATTTCGCGGCGCGCTGCATATCGTAGCCAGTGCTACCGTCTAGGCATAGTCAGTAAAGTTAGAGGGGCATCAGGCCTGGAGCCGGCATGAGCAGCCACTGGAAGCTTGTTGCAAGCTGTTAGCGGGTACCACAGCGCGAGTCCCACCAACTACGTCGCTCTTAATTTACCCAACCTACCAGCAAAGCACCTACCCGAACTGCCGTCACAAGCCAAGCCAAGCCATGTTATGCGCCTTCGTGGCTGGGGAGCAAGTAGTAGAACGTAGCCCGGAATATCAAAGTGACCGGTTATGACCATCATCTCACCTATTCGTGATCTCGATTCTGCTTCTCTCCTCAACATCCCTCAAGAACTTTGTCTCTTAACCTCAAGCTTCTCTCCATCTCCCGCGACCTCCCCACTATAGCTCCCACCTGTCAAGCCCCAGGCTCGATATCACCTCAGCCTCTCAGCCTGGTAGCCAGTGACGCGACTCCAATTAGCGACAGCCCTTCCTCCTCCCTATGCCGCACATGCGATCGCACAACATACCTGGACTACAATCGTAACGATGAAGGCGACGCCCCTCATCATCAATTGGCACGATCAAAACGCCCCTGTCTACTCTGCTCACTTCGAGCCTGCTGGTAAGGGGCGTTTAGCTACCGCAGGTGGTGACAATAACGTGAGACTTTGGCAGGTTGATTCTGACGGACCTGAACGGAGGGTAGAATATCTCTCTACCCTCTCCAAACACAACCAAGCCGTCAATGTTGTCCGATGGGCTCCCAAGGGTAGGTTTTCGGCATCCCAGCCACAAGCCATCGATCACTTCAGCTAACATCCATTGCAGGCGAGATTCTAGCTTCGGCCGGCGACGATGGCAACGTAATTATTTGGGTTCCAAGCGACACGCCCCCTTCGAACTTTGGAAACGAGGTACTAGAGGACAAGGAATCATGGAGAGCCAAGCACATGTGTCGCTCTAGCGGAGCTGAGATCTACGATCTCGCCTGGTCCCCTGATGGGCAATACTTCATCATCGGCAGCATGGACAACATTGCTCGAATCTACAATGCCAACTCGGGTGAGCAAATCCTCCACTTCTCAAGCCCAGATCTCTTGTCTAATGCTTTACAGGTACCTTGGTTCGCCAAATCGCCGAGCACAGCCATTACGTCCAGGGCGTAGCATGGGATCCTCTGAACGAATATATAGCAACCCAGTCTTCAGACCGATCTGTTCATATCTACTCTCTCAAGACCAAGGACGGCCAGTACACGCTTGGTTCAGACGACAAGGCTCCCAGACTTGCCAGCCACATCAAGGTAGATCTGCCACCACGCCGAATCTCCTCAAGCAGCCCTGCACCTCCGGATTTTGGTCATCGTGCCCAGCTGGGAGCTGTTCTCGAGCCCGCTCCATCTATTGGGTCTCCAGTGCCTTCTACACCCGGCACACCTACTTCCTCCGCGTTTCCGATGAACCCTCCGAGTGTTGTCAGTCACAGTCGTCGATCTTCGTTCTCCTCTCGTCGATCTGTCTCTCCCGCACCGTCAATGCCCTTGCCCGCGGTCATGCCAATGGAAGCGTCACCAAAGCCTCACTCTGTGGCCACAAGCGTAGGCTTGGGGATGAAGAATGCAAACTTATATGCTAATGAAACGCTCACGTCATTCTTCCGCCGACTTTCCTTTACTCCTGACGGAAGCCTTCTGCTCACCCCGTCTGGCCAGTATCAAAACCAGCATTCCGGCGAGAAGGACGCTAAGCCAACCACCGAAGTCATCAACACGGTTTACATATACACCAGGGGAGGGATCAACAAACCACCAGTGGCACATCTCCCTGGACATAAAAAGCCCTCTGTGGTTGTGAAATGCTCGCCAATCATTTATACGCTGAGACAAGCTGCACCCGCGACCAAGCACATCACAATCGACACATCCTCCTCTGAGGAGGCCATCCCAGCGCTTCCTGAGCCCATTTCCAAGGATTCTCCCGGTAGCTCTATCATGGAGCCTCCACCTCCTCCAGCTACCGCAGGCTCCGAAGCTGGGTCAACAGCTGGCAAGTCTGAGGCTGGGCTACCCTCGTCTGGGCCCAAGCCTGCGTTCAGCTTAAACTACCGTATTGTCTACGCTGTAGCAACACAGGATTCAGTTCTACTTTATGACACGCAGCAGAAGACACCAATCTGTGTCGTGAGCAATTTACACTGCGCCACATTTACCGATCTAGCATGGTAAGAGCCAAATCAGTGGTGGCAGTTCGTTCTTGACGTTTGTATCATCTAACCAATACCAATAGGTCATCTGATGGACTTACCCTTATGATCTCCTCTTCGGACGGGTTCTGCTCAACCCTCTCATTTCAACCTGGTGAGTTGGGTGAAGTATATAAAGGCGAGATAGGCCCGCCAAAGTCGTCAGCATCGACTTCCAACCCAAGTGTGTTGAGCCAGAACCCGCCGACACCGACGCCAACGACCCAGTTTGCTCCTCCATCACCGTTCCCTCCCGGGTCGCAGCATTCGCACCACCAGCATCGTAACTCGGCCACGTCCTTCACCGCACCGTCCCCACCAGCGTCAACGTCGTCGTTCAACATGCAACGTCCCCACTCACCTGCGAGGTCCAATTCCACGTCGTCCATCGCAACCCAGTCATCGACAGTTCCCACAAGTGTCGTCAGCAATCCACCACTCATCGGTGGCAGTGTTCCTGGGCTCACAGCGACCAGCTCGGGCAAGGTGACGGGTGTGCCAATCACAACACCGCCCGAAACACCAAGAAGTGTGAGCGGCGGTGTCAAACGGGAGGCCAGTGAAAGCGAGAAGGAAGACGGCAAGGAGCCAAAGAAAAGGCGGATAGCGCCAACATTAATTGATTCCAAGCCGACCTAAACTCAGCCTGCTTGCTACCTGCAGGAGACGGCCAAGGATGGCGACATTGTTATTTATGCGGCAAGGATGCGACCGGGTAAGTTATGGTGGGCATATGGGAGCAAAGGATACATTTTCGGCGGTTGTAAGGCGCATGCATGGAATTGGCGTTTGACGGTAACACAAGGAAGTCATCAAAGAGACTATATATAAGGAAAAGGGACGGTCGGGTCGCGTAAATGATGGGCGTTTCTCTTTTGAGATGATTTAATACACGCGCATGCTCGCGATAGCTAGGAATTGATCAAATCTTTTTTATTTCTTGCCTGGGACAAGCGACCAGATGTGAATGGCTGGGCTACGGTCATAAATCCGAGGTTCCATGGGGTGGCAAGTGGGTGACACTAGAAATGGCACACCCAAATAATCACCCAAATAACCACCCAAATAAATATCTAAATATCTCAATAAGTAGTTGATTCTAAGCGGAGATTAGAGAATACTAATACTGAGCCCTTGATACTCTTCCCATTAATTTATCTTAGCCGTTCCGTAGCTAGCTATAAAAGATAATAGATCAAGAATATGCTAAGGGAGTGCTTAGGTGTGCCATTTCCAGTGTCACCCATTTGGGTGGATTGCAGCTGCCGCAGTGGCCATGATTGGTGTGGCAAAAGACTGACGAGCATTAATCATCTACTCGATAGCCGGGTGTACTCCCGTCGGCTCCAGCGTTCAGAATCACGGGTTGGAGGCCGGTGGAGCAACATGCCGAGGCAAATGCGAAGCCGGAGAGCGAGCGGCGTCCAGTCTCCCCACCCGCCACTGAAGGAAAACCCTGGAGCACTGAACACTCTCCCCCGGCGACTCCACTCGATCTCGCTTGCTCCAGCCTGGGCCAATTTCAACACCAACCCTCTCCTCCACCACCTCCGCCAACGTCTCCCGTCCACCACAATCGACCCTTCCAGCAGACCATCCCGCTGCGCTTGCGACCTCTTGTAATTCGATGCGATAGAATCCGGCCCAGCAACTACTGTCTGTCTGTCTCCTTGCTCGGCCTCGCCTGGCCTCGTCGGCAACCGCGAGGGCCTCGATCCCTGCCTCCTGCGCAGCGCCTCCCAGCGTCGGTCGCCGCCTTCTCCACACGAGATTGAACCTGCATTGCGCTCCTCGACTGTATTAATATGGCGTCTCCCCCCAAGCCCTGGGAGAGAGCTGGCGCTGGCGCCACAGCTGGTATGATATCCCATCACCCATGTTATCTCCGCTTCTTGTCGCTAACGCGAGTCCGACAGCGTCCCCTACTACCACAGCCTCCGCCCCTTCGATCGCAACTTCGCCGACCGCGTCCACCACCTCAACGGCGCCGCCTCTTCCCGACCGACCGGCCTCCCTCTCCAGTACCGTGAATCAAAACGCGGCCGCCTACTCCAGGATGAACACTTCCCCCTACTCTTCATATGGCGGCGCATACTCCTCTCCATACTCATCCATGGGGAGCCCATACTCGAGATTTGGGGGCTATGGTGGTGGCATGGGCGGTGGCATGTATGGCGGAGGCATGTACGGAGGCGGCATGTACGGAGGTGGCATGTATGGAGGGATGGGCGGCATGCCCGGTGGTCCCAATGACCCAAACAGCCTGACCAACAGCTTCAGCAACAGCACGGCCGCCACGTTCCAGATGCTGGAAGGCATTGTCGCCACATTTGGCGGGTTTGCCCAGATGCTGGAGAGCACATACATGGCTACGCATTCAAGCTTCTTTGGTATGTGATCCTCCATCTTGAGCCCTTATTATTCCCTCTCTATGCCGCATATGTTTCTAACAAATGAACAGCAATGATCTCTGTTGCAGAGCAGTTCAGCCACCTACGTGACACTCTAGGATCAATTCTCGGAATCTTCACACTCATGCGTTGGATCCGTACCCTTCTCGCCAAAATCACGGGCCGACCGCCCCCAGCTGATGCCACTGCTCTCACCCCAGCAGCATTTGCTCGCTTCGAAGGCCGTGCCTCCGGCGCTGCTGATGGTTCCGGAGCCACCCCGCGTGCCAGCAGGAAGCCCCTCCTGTTTTTCATCGCTGCAGCCTTTGGCCTGCCATATCTCATGTCCAAGTTGATCAGGTCTCTGGCTGCGTCACATGAGGAAGAGCAACAACGTCTTCAGCAACAGGCTCTACAGCAACAGCAGCCCATCGATCCGTCCAAGCTCGAATTCTGCCGCCTTCTGTACGACTTCCTGCCCCAGCCCAACACTGGTGTCGAGCTTGAAGCTCGCAAGGGTGACCTAGTCGCTGTTCTGACCAAGAATGACCCAACCGGAAACCCCAGCGATTGGTGGCAGTGTCGGTCCCGCGATGGCCGCCAGGGCTACCTTCCCTCCACTTATCTTGAGTTGTTGAAGCGCCCGACCCAGGATGTGAAGCAGATCAAGTCAGCAGACGATACTAGCAGGACAAGCTCACTGACGAGCGCAGCTGCTGAGGGGCAGAAGCAGATCGAGAGCGAGGGCAAGAAGGAGTACACCACGGTTGAGGGCATGCAAAGAAGTCAATTCTACTCCTAGGTGGGAAATGCTCGACTGCGTGCAATGTCGGTTCGGCCACACGGGTACTTTCTGACACCTCGCCGAACACAGCAATGGCTGTAAAACATGGTCTTTTTTTCATTTTCTTTTGTGGGATGCGGCAAGACGAGGCAAACATGTGGTTGTTCAAGCCACACGGCGTTTATTGTCATACATGGCGTTTTAATCATATATATACCTAAGGCCCTCTACTTGAGCCTTTATTATTCTCCGTATCCTTTCCCCAAGTGATGATGTCTGTATCCGCTTTACTTGCTTCAGAAGTGAACATTCAATGTCTAGAATACCGTACTTAAATTTTACACCCTTTCTGTTTGGCCAACTGCCCAAATTTCGGGTTCAAGAGAGGATTAGGATGCTGCTGTTAGCAATCGCATGGGCCTCAGCCCTCTGCCTCGTATGCATTTGACTTGTGCTTAGGCTGGAAGTTGAAGCCTGGGTGGACTGGTCCGAGGAACATCTCACTACAAAATAGTTAGCAGTCATGCAAAACGCAGAATTGGCGAAACCCAATTGACAGTGAAAATTGAATTCTTACCTGATCTTGATCCAGTCCTTGTAGTTGTTCGAAGCCATGAGCGTCTCGAGCTCGTTCCGGCCCTTGTACGCCGGCGGCCGGTCGTTGAGGCTGGGCGGCAGGTGCTCCAGCAGGCCGATGGGCACGTAGCGGTGCGTGAAGCTGAGCCACTCGAGGAGGAACCGCCGCGTGAAGCCGATGCCCAGCTCGTCGGAGCCCCAGGCCTCGAGGCCGTAGCGCACAAACTTCTCGATGTAGGTGAGGCGCTCGGTGGCGGACTTGTCGAGGTACTGGCCCTTCTCGATCTCCTCGAAGAGCCAGGGCTTGATGAGGGCGCCGCGGCCGATCATGACGCTGTCGACGCCCGCGTTCTGGATGTGGTCCTGGTAGTCCTCGTGGGAGAAGCAGTCGCCGTTGCCGAGAAAGTAGACCCGCCCGTCCTTGGTGTTGGCCTGCGTGCTTGGGTCGGGCTCGGCGGCCGTGTCGGTGAGGTCGTCCTTCTCCTCGTTGTAGGACCTGATGAGGGCGGAGCACTGCCCGATGAAGCCCCAGTCCGCCTTCTTGGTGTACCTCTGCTCGCGGCTGCGTCCGTGGAGCGTGATGGCTGCGCAGCCCGGGGCTCCGAGACGTTCTCGGTGCTCAGAGCCGCCGAAGGCGAGTCGGCTGATGACCTGGTTAGCCGTGGGGCGGTTGTTCCGGACGCCAGTTCGAATCTTAGCCGTGATTGGCACCTCGCCCGAGACGGCGTTCATGCCCCTGATCATGCGCTCGAGCTTGCCGGCGTTGTCGAGGAGGGCGGAGCCGCCGCCCGACTTGAAGACCATGTCGATGGGGCAACCGCAGTTGAGGTCGATGAGCCGCAGGTGGGGGCACCAGCGGCTCAGGGCGTCTGCCGACTTGACGGCGACCCAGGGGACGCTGGCGGAGATCTGGGCGCCGAACCGGAGGTCCCTCGCGTTGTCGTAGTTCTCGACGACGTAGCTCTTGCCGGGGGTGTACTTGGGAGGTGCGAGCTCCGACTTGTGCGCCTTTAGGAGGGCCCAGTCGGCCTTTGTGCCTTGGATGAGGGGCATGCCCATTGCCATCTCTGAGTAGGTGAGCTGGGCTCCAAGGTCGATGCAGAGTCGGCGGAAGGGCAGGTTGCCCTGCGTGGTCAGCGGTGCCAGAGTGGGTGTCTCCGGGCCAAAGTAGATCCTCCTCTTCTCCGAGGGCTTGAACGGCGGGTCGACGAACGCAGCTCTCAGCTCGGCCATCTCCTCGGGGGTTTTGTCCTTGGTGGCCTGAAACAGCTTGTCGTTTGCCTTTGTCTCCTTGTTGAGCCATTCGATGTACTTCTCAGACCGGCTGAAATCAACTCGTTTCCGGTTGAGATCGATCTTGTTCTGCATCGGAACAATGTTAAACACATCAGCACGTCGATCTTCGACCTCCTCGCCCTCTTTTGCCTCCTCCGAGCCGTTGGAATTCTTTTTCGTGACATTGTCGATAAGAGTCAGTTCCTTGCGCCCATCCTCGTGCTCTACTTCGCGCATGTGGCTCTTAACAAACCGGCACTTCCAGCCAGCGGAGCATCGACCATGCTGCTCGAAAATCGGGCATTTCCCGCCAAATGTTTCCACGTCTTCCCGTCGTCCCTCGGCAAGGTACTTGCGAAGATCGTGGGACTGGCGGCACCTGTCGCCAAACCGACACTCGCGAGGGGAGAACTCGGAGTAGTAGGCTCTGCTGTTGCAAAGACGAATCGCGTCGTCAAAGTGACCAAACGTGCGCTCAGTGTTCTGGCCGCGATTCTTCTGCTTCTTGTCTTTCCTGCCCTTGTTGCCTGAATCCCTGTCATCCTGGCGCTGGTGGCCTGCGCCCTCTGCAAGATCATCATCAGGCGCCTCATTTGGAGTCGCGTTGCTCATGTCAATGAGATATCTGTGAAAATCCAATCTCAGCAACTGGAAAAGGTATGTTATTCTGCAAAGTTGGTCGTCTCAGGCTTACTCTTTTTTGACAGGTGCAACACCTTTTCTTACGTCTCTGTCGTCTGAGGCCGAATTTGAGCCATTGGTCTTCTTCTCAACCTGGGTGTCCTTCTCTGCGACCGGCTTTTCAGTAGGAGTTTCGTTGGCCAACCCCGAGCTGTCCACCTTCTGCCTCTTTGCAGCTCTCTCATCACCATCGCCTCCAGTGCGCGTGCTTGGGGCTTGGGACGCCGGAACGGCACCTGTTTCAGCTGCGGCGCCGTTCATGTTGACATCCATGTCCTCAGTCGCCATTATGTTTCACACGATCGCCCGGTGAAAAGAGCAGATTTATGGTGAGAGATGTTGCAAGATGGGCTCTTCACCAAGCGATTCAAGCTTGACTATAAGTGAAAAATTGCCAGGGCCAATGACGGCGATTCCAATCCACAAAAGGGTACTAGCGCGGGTCGAGACAAAGTACCTCGGACTCAGCAAATGAACAAGCGACTGACATAAAAATGGCACACCAGATCTCTTTTCACGCAAGCCAGGGACCTCATTTTCTTATTAATAATACTAAACATAATCAGAAGGATAGTAAGAATTATCCTACAATATCTAGTTCGCTATTATGCTTATTACTGGATTGATTGTTTTAATATTATATGAATACTCAACGCTGAAGTTTCTGGGTGTGCCATGCTTTATGTCACTCGCTTGCTAAGTACCCGATGCTTCAAGCGGCTCAATTAACGATGTGCTTTTTAAAAATAGCCTTTCATAAAATTGTGCTCGGTTCTATACTTTAGCACCAATCCGCCTCAATTGCAACCGTTGCCGCTCGACAAGAGCATCCTGAGGAACAGCTGTGCGAAATGGCAGAACCGCTTGACAACACTGACACCTGCTAATCGGTCTAGCATCACGGTCCCTGCGGGCTGCGGGCCACCCAATCGGCCACTCTGTACCTTATCCAGCTTAATTAAGCTGTGCCTGGAGATGAGCCAGATGCTAGCGCCCAGGCGACTGGGTGACAGCCCAAGGTGAGAGGGGCAGATGGTCGCGCTACCATCATGCCATGTCAATTCTTCCGCCGTGTGATGCAGGCTCCTGGAAAATAACGGTCCAAGCAGTGCACGCAAGTCGCCGCATTGACCTGCTCTGCTTCATCATTTACCGCCTCTGCCAGCTCGAAACTCAGCTCCGTGGGGAACCCACACTCAACCCAGTCCGCTAGACACGCAGAGCGCTTCCTGCTTCTCCACGCCCTCTGCCTGAGCTCAGCACACACTCCACCCTCCATCCCATTTTCTGCGCGGAGGGAATGAACAGCAGCTTGGGAGACTATGGCGGACTCGGCTAAGCCCGACGAAAGGCAGGGCGTCCCTGGCAAGGTCGTCCGCAGTCAAAAGATTGTTACCACTGCTTCACCGCCCATCGACAACACCGAGGATTCGGACACATCGACCGACCACGCGCCATTGCCGCGCAGCCATACACCTGGCCAGCTTGCCAGCAAATCCAAGGTCCACGAGCACCGCCGTCGCAATCCTTCCGAAGTCTCGAATCGGCAATGGTCGTCCCAGGCCGCTGCCCTACCACCCCGCCCTGCCACCGCCGGCAACCCAGCAGCAAAGCCCTCCAGCTGGGGCAATGGCACCAGCACGAGCGAGGACCCCGACGACAAAGCAGAGAGGGTGCCGAGTGGGGGCACACGGCAAGAGGCTTCTCGGTCGGCATCAGGCGTCTCGAGCCACAAGTCTACCTCCTCCCTATCCCACCGAACTCAGAGCCAGCTCGCCCGCTTCCCGCTCATCCAAGGTCCCGACGACGCCCCAGACGTGGCCCCGGCCCCAGCTTCTGGCATGTATTGGTCCAAAGCCCTCGTCTCTGGAGGGCCTATACCATGCCTGCGGGCACATACCAGTGCTCTGATCGGCTCCAATATCTACGTCATTGGCGGGTGTGACGCTCGCGCGTGTTTCAACGATGTCTACGTTCTCGACGCTGATTCATTCTACTGGTCTCGGCCGCACGTGGTTGGGGATATCCCGACGCCACTGCGTGCGATGACCTGCACGGCTGTGGGCAAGAAGCTCGTGGTTTTCGGAGGCGGAGACGGCCCCGCCTATTACAACGATGTTTACGTGCTGGACACTGTGAATTTCCGGTGGACCAAACCACGCATTGCGGGCGAGAAGAAGCCCTCCAAGCGTCGAGCCCACACCGCGTGCTTCTACAAGAACGGCATCTATGTGTTCGGCGGCGGTGACGGCGTGAGAGCCCTCAACGACATATGGCGTTTGGACGTCTCCGACATGACCAAGATGTCTTGGAGCTTGGTATCCGGCACCGATAAGAAGGGTTCCGTGGAGCCCAAGCCCAAGGCTCGTGGCTATCACACGGCCAACATGGTCGGTTCCAAGCTCATCATCTTTGGCGGCTCCGATGGCGGTGAGTGCTTCGACGACGTCTGGGTCTACGATGTGGAGGCACACTTCTGGAAGGTG